CGTAATGCTATCTACAGTCAAAATAGTAGTATTGCCCCCAAAATGGGTCGATACAGGTACTTTGTACACACAGCATTATGTTTTTATCTGAACCAATGATTGCAATATCAATCCAAATATTCAGATCAGCAAGCAAATCCTAACGGCAACTAGGTTCTTAAAAATATTGAGAAAATAAATTTCCACTGTTCTTCCGGCTAAGATTTCAGACCCCACAATGATGATACCGATAATTGTGCTATCTAGACAACAAAATATAATATAATAAAGTGACCAATATAGTTCAATAAGAAAAGCATGTTATAAAGATACGGCTTTTCATGCGTCGAATTCTGTCATCAGTTGTAGGATTTGATGTTAAAACCTGTTAATTACATTCTTGAGACTTTGATGTAAAGACGAACAAAGTTCTTCTTAATTGTATCTGCCCCCATACAATTTTCTGGTTATTAATAATTTCAAAATAATTCCTGACTTTACGTTGTTCATAACGGGAGGACATTTGGTCGAAAGATAGTTAACGAAAATCACATATTATTCCCAACGTATAGTTTTGAACACTACTGTAAACGAATCCGGTCTTGAGATATCTGTGATTACGGAGGGTAAGGAGGGGGTGAGCAAAAAAAAAACTAATTTCTTTGAAAACAAGCACATTGTACTTGGGTAGGGAATCTTAATGGAGACCGCTGCCAGATAGCCATGCAGCACCATCGCACTTGCCATCAGCGTCGTCTGCCATCTTCTATTGCAACAAAAATACGACTTTTGGGTTGTTTGTCTGGGCGCCAGAAAACTGTAAAAAATCGTTTTTGCGGCAAGGAATTCTTTCCAGTTTGCAGTTTCCTTTAGATCTGCTAGTTGGAGGGTGTCTAATGTGAGCGACTGTGGTGGGGACGAGTGCGTACATGCGTGTGTACATACATACGTGTGAGTGTGCGTGTCTATATGGCTTTGTGTGTTTGATGGTAAACAAAGTAAAGCAATACAACTTTCTTAAGCTTACGAAGGATATTTCGTAGACATACAAGCGCACACAATCACATGCATTGTCCGCACTCATACGCACGCACACACATGGCCACACTCATGCCAAGACAAAGGGAGGAGAAGGCATTTCGAAGGGAGGGAATTGGGAGCACATTTTCATTTCACCAAAAGACAACTAAGCGTTCATGTGTGAGGGTGTAGGTGAAGGTGTGGGTGTATGTGTGTTGTGCTGTGACTCGCTTCAAACGATTTCCAAATGACAGGGAATGGAAAGATGTGAGGTGCATTTGTAGGTTTGTATTTGTATGTTCGTCTATGTGTGTGTATGTGTGTATGTCTAAAACATTGGGAACTGGAGAAGAAAACAAAAAAAAAAAGAAACAAGAACAGAATAAGTTCGTAATACCCCCTTAGGTTACATGTTTAACTTTACTGCTTGACCATGGAACTTGGAAAATGTTTAATATGGAACAGTCACAACAACAGAAGCAGCAACGACAACGACAACAACAACAACAACAATAGATACAGCAATGGGCACCAAGTCGAAGAAAAATAGTTCACAGGACAAGAAAGAAAATAGAAACATTGCTATTGCTATTGCTATTGGTGTGGGGTGCGGGTGCGGGTGAGGGGGCGATCTCTTGATGATGAAAGTTGCCCAGAATTTAGTATTGCTGCTTGCAAATCCTGTGTGCGATGAGCTTGTGCTGTATCTGTGTGGAAGTTTTAAGAAAAGAATGTAGGGGGAACATAAGAAAACCTTCTATCTAAGTCGTTCGTTCGGCACTGACCCTCCCACACCCACACAGTGCCAGCACCATCGAGCAAGCCAGCCACACTGAAGGATATGGATTATGATGGACGGACGGCAACGGAGTTGGGGGTTCTCAATAAAAGTGAACCCGAAAACTCCTACTGTGTGGTACTGGGGGAGTAAAGTTAATATGTGGGGTCCCATTCTTGTTCCACGTCTTCGCAACCGCTTACCTACCCACCTCTGGCGCCCCAGTCGGCAAATGACTTTGAACGAGCGAGTGTAAGTGCGGGTGTGAGTGTATGTGTGTGTGTGCGAGCCTGTAATGAACAAATATGACTGTGGGTATGGCTGCGTTCGTTCGGTGTCTATGACTGTGTCTTGTGTGCATGTTTTCTATTGAATGTCGGTGTGTTCGTGGGTCCCTGTGTGTCAAAATGCCGTGTTTGGCTGGCATGTGAAGGGTGGGGTGGAATCGACGCCCAAGAAAGGAACTCTGTCTTCTTTGTTATGTTTGATGAATTACGTTGAGCCCTTTTAACGAGAAGCTTTTCTGCTTCTGCTGTGTTTAGTTTTTTTTTTTTTTTTTGGAGACCTCACAAAAACTCAGCCAGACAGCACCACCCCCTAATCCGTGCTCGTATTTGAGATGTTAACTCCCAACTCCCATGCAAGTCGCGGTCGCGCCTTTACTTGTGTTCGGTCGGTGTGTCTGTGTGTGTGTCTTGCCTGAACTGAAACCCAGGGAAATGTAACTCCTCCATTTTTGGTACACCCAAACCGATTTAATTTTTTGCCCACATGGCTGTGTGTATGAGGAAAGCGCTAATATATATGTGAGCGGGTATATGGGGACTGATGTACATACATATGGATAAAAGTAGAAACTTGGAAGGAAATGTAAGAAGAAGGAGATGTGGGAGAATAGAAATGAGTTGTGTATGTGGTTTATGCTTGGGGTCTTGGCGTTGAGTTATGCTATCATTCATCCAAATACGCGCCCACACGGCTGATAGGCAGCATATGCATGTGAATGTTCCTCCAATCGAATTTAGTCATTTCCTCTAGAAATCAATTTCTTTAAAACCTTCTTGTCTTGAGTCTTTGTATGACTGAAGATCAACGTTTTTTTGAGTATTCCAAGCTGATGGGATCATGCTGGTGAAATTTTCGAAGGGGCAGTGGCTAGGATAGACGAATCACCCCGTTCTGTTAAGATGTTTTTAAATTGATTTTTCCAGTTTATAAAACTTAGTAGTAACATATTAAGAGCTTGGTACCTTGAATATGAATTGAAGATTTATCAAAAACTGCCGGAAAAAAGTTAAATAATGCTATATATGGCTGTATTTAGTTAGCTAATAGCCCCAGCTTAGAATCGCATATTTATTGCTGTTATAATTTAAATCTTTAATATAATTGAACATCAGTAGGCCTATTCTGTAACTTTTAACTACTCTTGTTATTGGCTATTTAATAATCAACAGTTGTTGTTTGCAGTAACGATAATTCTATTCTGTAAAAATATTGCTAAATTGTCGATAAACTTTCAATCTTTCGATGCAAGGCAAATTCAATATTTCATTTTTTTTTTTCAATAAAATAAAAACTAAAATTTTGTTATTGTTTTTATACCTACTCTTTATATACAGTAACAATAACAGATAAAGCTGTTATAGAATAGCAATGTTGTTATTTGTGTTGTTAAAGGGAAAAACTCAATAAAATAACAATATTGACTGTCGTCAAAAGGATACAGAATAGGCCTACAGGGTGCCTACTTTATGAGTTACTAACAAATGTCTAAAAGTTTTACTATTTTTTGTGTACGGGAACAGTTTTCACATAAACAATTCTAAACATGATGAGAGTAGCAACATTATATGTAATATCTCGTGATATGTACCTCCACAGACCGATACCGACTGCAGAAAAGAAAATTTATGGACAGTTTTATTTGGGGGAAGATCTCGTAAACGTCAAATAAGCTAAAAAATAGTCTTAGTCTTGCGTCGAACTCATACTGCCCTATTGCCGTTCGACAGATGAGACACACCAACCATAGAAAATGAACGGAAACAATTTGTGACTGATTGGGAGAAGCCTTTTTTGGGGGTGCCAATAAAGATAAAAACAAATAAGAACTTATGTAGAGGAGAGACTTATAAGCCAGCCTAGACTAGGGTCCAACAGCAAAGTTCCTCTTAACAATATCTCGGGTTATTTGATCGAGCTGCTCCACACGGTATATTATTTCTACAACTAACTCCAGCTTCATTCAATGCAGTTTGGTGTTTGGTATGCAATTATGTGAACAATATCCGAATGCGAACGGATTTGAATAGTTGCGTCTTATGGTTGTAGTTTGAAGAGTGTAACTGTGATATACTATAATCTCAACACTTTAAAACTATAGGTCTTATTCACGATACAATTTGTTATCTCAAAATAATAAAAATATTGGGTGTACTCAAGTTTCAAGTAGTAGTCACGGTATGAAATGAGGGACATGTTAAAATTGTCACTCGTTTTTCACTCAATCAGAGATGTATCAAACCCCGAAATGTACCCAGCAAAAACTAACCCATTTTAAGGCAATGCAAACAAACTTCTATCAACATTGTCACTGGGCTGAAAATAATGGTTTATTCTTTTGAATATTACAAAGCAAAATAATTTACTTTTCACATTACCAGTAATGAGTTATGTCGACACAGTGTGTGTGCGTGTCCGACTAGGCTGTGAGTCTCCACAGCGTCGGTACTCTCGAATACTCTCTACTGTTTTCGGGTATAGCTACAATCGTCAAATATTGTTTAGCAAACTCATTGTTTGGTGAGGTATTTTTTGTTGGATGCGGTCAGGCCAATCTTTCAATAGAAACTTGAAATATGATATGGAAACTTAGGTGATTACACCTAAGCGGGATTACCATTACAACATCAACAGGTTTTTCAGATTTGGGGCTTAAAAACTAATTAATTTTTTTTGTGTTTTTGAATTCTATAAATGTTCGGTCTGTGATTGAAATGTGTAGTATTTCATATGACAGCAGGCTTGCATTTGTTGACATGGCGTTTGAAATCGTGAACTAGATCTTGCTAACTAATTTCCATAACAATTTGGTAACAATTTCTCGGCCATGTAACAATGGTGGGATGACTTTGTGATAAAGTAAAAAATATCAACAACAAATGAATGAAAGTAAAACGCTATGAAGTAGAAACTTTATTTAGATATCTGCGAATATTACCTTGTGCAGCAACACTGAAGCCTTCCGCTTTGATGCCATTTTTGTGGTTCCACCACCACCACCACCGGTTGACGACGCTGTGCGGGTCGACTGTTTAGAGGTTTTTCTCGGATTTTTCGGAATTTTGGATAATTTTTTTAACAACGCGTAGAGGAGAATTAGTTGGGCAATTGTTGTTTGTTTCTAATCTTTTTAGTGACACTTGGCTCAGACGGCGCTTATCAAAGTAAGTGGGTTTGTATGTATGTATGTAATTCGAGGCTTGAATTTCTAAACCGAAGGAATTCTGCACACACAACCAAACAAAATTGCACACACACGTACACACACTGACACTTGTAGCCCTGCACCAACTACTCTTGGAATCGCAGGTCTGCGAGATCTTCAATATTCATGCATAACCTCCTTTAAATTTCACTGGGCTTTGGTAATAGTTGTAGGGGTTTCGAATGTGTTTTTATGCTCAACTAGGAACTAGTCAGTTCCGACAGATGTCATTACATAAATGTGTGTTTATCTTTTTGATTTTTTGTTTTATTATTTTTCACTTAAATCCCGTAGAACTATTTCAATTTGAAATTGTATCCAATAACCGTTGAACACCGTGTGGCTCGGCTTAGCGTTTGCTGCGGGAAAAAAGGACACGACTTAACACACCGACGATTCTTAGCTAACTGATCAAAACAGAAATGTGCGAATAGATTTTGAGTTATTGTGTGTCAGTTGGAGGCAGCAGCAACACCAGGAACAACAATGACAGCAGGAGCAGAGCCAGCCGTGAGGAGGATGGCGGGGGGCAGGGGATGGAACACGAGAGAGAGATGACACTTTGTTGCTTCGTTCATTCCCATTTTCCGGGGCATGCGCACACAGTGGGCGCCAAACTTCGATGACATTCACACAAATGTGGGACGCTCGGAACGATGTCTGAAAGCCAAAAAGGACATGCCGATAAATAGAATGATGAAGAAGGATTTTGGACAAAAACAGCAACAAACACCAAAAGCTGGCTTATGAAACAAGAGCGCAACGAGCAGTGCCAAGGTATGGTGAGTTCGTTGTCGCTGTAAGGCTGGACGAGACAACGGTGGTCGGGCGGATGAGTTGGCGAAACATCTGAGTAGGCTGTGAGTGTGCCAGTAAGGAGCGAGGACCAAGTATGTGAGGACAAAAACATAGAAACGGCAATAAGTGCCGAAATGTCAAAGTGACAAACTTGCCATCACATATCGCACACGTTCTCCGTGTGCTGTGCTGAGACGAGCTGCCGTGGAGGGGGTTGCGAAAAACAGCTGTAGTGACGTAGTAGGACGTAGAGGAAAGCACAAGGACTCGCAAAGCGGGACTCTCGACTCTCGTTTGTTGTGTCGCACATTTCGTTGCAAGTAACGCCGATAATCACCACCGTCATTATCATTAACATCGTCATTATGCTCATTAATATTGTTATCATCGTTTGGCTGTTGTTGTTGTGCATGTTGATGATGTTTCACTCGCCACCAACACACGCACATACCCAGTTCATTCATGCGGGGGAGTGTGAGAAAGCGCGTAAAACTAACCACACAATGCTTACACACATCCAAACTCTCCATGCCTTGTTTTGCCCTGTGCCATGGGCAAGGGGTAAGAGTAAGGGGTATTCGGAAGCGTGTGTGTGAGAGCCTCTGCACAGTTATGGGCAACAACAACAAGCAGAAGGACGAACGAACGAGCGAGCTAACCATCCGACGTCTAAATGAGGAAAGTGAAAGGCATGAGTGGCGGTGTTTCCATTAGAATGAGTGATAGAAAGCCAGCCAAACAGACGTTAGCGCCGAGCAGGGGTGCACTGAATGCTGAATTGCGTTCGCGTCCACCGTGTTGTTGCTGTTGCTGCCGTTGTGCAAACATATCAAAATAAAAAACCGGTGTCGGCGTTTCGGACTTGAAAAATGTACTCGAAAAAAGGCCAAATGCCGGGTTGTGCGTGGGGTTGGGGAGTGGTGGCGAGCTGGCAGGTGTTAGAGACGAGAAAAACATGCAATGGTCCAACATCGGAATAATAGACAAAACAAAGCAGTCCCAACAAAAATATGAATGAGAAAATAATAACGACAAAACCCAGCAACAGCAACAACCACCAATACAGCTTGGCTGGAGTATGGAAACTGGACAAACAAAAAAGAGAACAAAAAATTCGTTTGGCAGCGACTATGACGGGAACTTTGATTGTAACGGCTCGCATTTGATGGCGATGATGGAGATAGCGATGGTGATGGCGAAGGCGAAGGCTATGGTGGTGTCGACGATTATTATGTTGCACGCGGGGACTACTGTTGGTGGCGGTGCTGCTGCATCGAATGAATAAAAAATATGCATGGAGAATAATTGCCGCTTTTCAACTGTATGAGTTAGATTTACACGCACACACAAACATTCGTGAACACCAACAAGGCCATAATAGGCAAAATAAATATGGTGTGAGTATTTTAAGCTGGCAAAATCGAAAACCAACCATTGGATCAGAAATATCCAAATCTTATCGAAATTTTATAGAAAAGTTTTTTTTTTATCGAACTTTTCGACTTGAGATATTTGCAGTATCGTTTCAGCGTGCGATTTCCTTCGCCATTATCACAACATCATCGCACGCAAGTGATGCATCAGATGGTGCAGTGACTCGAAGTGGAAGCGTAATGGTCGATTATCCTTATCAAGGTTCGTTCACTAGTTTCGGATTTAAAAGCACAGGCTTTGATTATTATAGATAAGTTCAAAAAGTTGTAGACCTCGCAAATAATAAATAAATTATGGTAAATAATGACAGAAACACGGGATTGAATATATATCAAGCTAATTATAATTGTTAATGTCATCTGAGAAATCGTTTTACACATTTTATGTGCTCCGCACAGGGTCAAAATGCATGCCATCAAAATCGAGTAGGTGTGCATGAAGCTTTCAGTGCACACGGTTCGCGCATTCATTTTGCTTTTGATTTCTCGCTGTATAGACAGACAATGTCTATAACGGACGATACAGCATTGGCGCTTTTGGTCGCGTGCTTAAAAAAGAAAATGAAAACAGAAAGAGAAAAGAATCCGGACGAAAGAGTGGCACAAAAAAAGTTATGAATTCACGCATGAACAGTTATTAGTTGAATGAGTTAAGAGTGTCATCGGCAAACGATTTAAACTTTTTTTTCAGAATGGATAGTTCCACTTGCTAGAAATTACTAAGCCTGGTTGAGGCTCTAATTAATAATTCCGTATTTCGAAATCAATTCTTCATATTGATTTTCTTTATTAACCCCATTGCTATATTCTTCACATTTAACGACCGCTAAACTTCCGACATCCTTATACACCCATTCGCTTTGAGAAAAGTTCTAAATACACGTCAAAATCGAACGTCATGCTCGAGAAAAATCAAAAAATGCTACTTTTGCTTCATGCATTGTAGGTGTGACGCATACTTAAAACATTTTACTAACAGCACAAAATGCATATCGTGCATTTTGATCGTATACGGAGCACTTTATAAACAACAGGCTACGGGGACAGACCCGACGGAGCCTCATTGGTTTGCCTGCAGTGATTAAAGCTGGAATGACAAGCAATAAATTCAGTTGTTTTTATAAAAAGAACAACAGTCCCACCTGCCACCTGTAGAGCGACTTCAAATTAACGTGGAAATATCGACTCAGCTCGCTGAAATAGGAAGAGTGCTATACTACATGGTGGGTCTAGAACCAATTACAAAATTTTTGGTCCAACCAAATTTCCAAACACTCAACACACAGTGTTGTGGCGCATTATAAGTAATAATAGATGTTTTTACTCCAATACCTATCTTCAATAGATGCTACATTTTAAAATATTATTTAAATAGCTATAGGAAATATTGTGTGTATCATGTTATATCCGAAAAATATCATGGAAAACAGTTTTGGATTTCTCAATAAAAATTGAATCGTTAGTCACTTTGGAAAACTTATGCTTCACTTATATAAACTTACTTATACTCACATTCTTGTTTTAAATGTCATTCTCAATTTGGGTTATTCTATTATGCGAATGTCTAATGGACAGATCACACATAGTTCGAGTGATCAGCTCGTTTTTCTATGTCTACTTATATTGTACTGTCGCATATATGTTCGTAAAATTCTAAACTCTACTGAAAAATGGCTCGTGAGCTGAAAATATCGCAATATTCCATTCACAAGTATTGTAAAATGAGCTCGGGGTAAAGCCATTGAAATTCCAAAAGGTGCAAGAACTTACACCGCAACAGAAAGAAAATAGACTCAAAAGAGCTAAAGAGTTGCTTCGTTTTGCCGAAAGTGGTGAACTGCCGAATTTGATGGTGAACTGCCGAATGATCGTGTTTACTTGCCAAAGAGGTCAGCTGAAAATTTGCAACTTCGGTTGGCCACCAGAACTCTACATCGCCGACCATGGTGATGGTGTGGGCTGCCATAACAGTCGATGGTCGCTTTCCGCACGCAAACATGCCGCAGACCTTGGACATTCCAACAGGACTCAGCACCATCGCACTCAGCACGCGTTACAAAATGAGGTTCCTCGCTTCATTTACAGTGCACAATGGCCACCAAAATCTCCGGATACCTATCCGTTGGACTATTGTGTCGGGAGTATTTTGGAAAACAAGGTCGGCACTAAACAATACCAAAGTGTCGATGACCTCAAGCAAGTGCTTCGCCGGGAATAGGCCGCAGAGCAACATTAGGGCAGCGTGTGACGGTTTCATTGGCCGTTTGAAGGTCATAATTCGTTCCAAAGGAGACCAATTCGAACAAATCTAAACTTATTCTAAAATTTGATGCTATTTCCGACATTTTTTGCTTTCATTCAATAAAATTAAAAAAAAAATATATTAAAACTATGGCCTTTGACATTGTTGCAGTTTTTTTTATCTCACCCTGTTCATCATAAAATACATTCGTCACGTTAAAAGGAAATCAATTAAACACACATATATTGCTTCCATCCGATTTCAAATTTAATTTTCTCTTTTGAGTTGAGCTTATAATGACCTAAGGAGTTGACGTTGAAAATTTGAAACTAGCGAAGTCTCACGCATTAACCTGTATGCGACACGTTTCGCCGTTGGTTATTCGGCTCTTCAGTCATGTTAGCTGCTATTTTAGTAGCTGGACGAAGATCAATTTTGGAAAGTTCCATTTCTGCATACTTCATTAGGTAAATGCATAGGCGGCTTGAATTGAAACATTGTGTCATTTCAAGTTGGTTTATAGTCTGACTGACTGTAGAGACCTGTTTTTCAATTCTTAACATATATAATGGTAGGATTTTCTTCCTACATCATAAGCTCAACCTGATAGAGAAAATTATCAAATATCCATTAACAAAAGACCTTCGTCTTAATAAGGCAAAATATTCAAATTATTGATCATAGTTGGTATGATCTACTTCACAAAAATTCCCAATATAAACATTCACTGGTTACGGGTAGCTCTGCATAGCGCCTTCTATGGGACTATGAAGACTAAATTTTACTTTAAAGCGTTTGTTATTTCTTTTTTAAATGCTCTTGGATAGCGAACAGCTATCCCCGCCATTCCTAGGTATGTACATTCGTTAAGACACTTCTTCCGTTTGTAATGTTTAGACACACTGAGTTCCGATCCACAAAGCGGCTGCTCTTAGACGCCATTTTTATATCTTATCGAATGTCGCTTATCTTTTAGTTAAAAAATAAATGTTGCATTTCCATCAGCGTAGAAATAACCATTATTTGGATATTTTACAAATTGCAGTTGCTCGCTCCTCTTCTGTGTCAAACTAAATTTCATAACCTGCCGATGTTTCCAATTAGTATTAATACACCAAACAACCACTGCAACCCCTCCCGTTCTCCGGCAGCTTGGGCGTTCTATTCTCATTGAGGCTCCCTGACACGGGCTCGGCACAACACCGTCATGTCCTATTCCGATCAACCAGAAAATAAGCGCAAAAATCAACCAAAAAATGTGCTAGTCGATGCCGATGAAACTGTACACAGATACGCCACGACAACAACAACAACAACAACGGCAATGCCGTCAAACAAGCCCAGCACAAAGTGAACGCCTATTTGTATTTTATTATTTATTGTAAAAAAGCAACCATTGGGGACCCAACAGAATAGAGCGGTTCGTGGTGCCAATGTGCTGTCATTAAGGCTCGATCCCAATTGCTGCAGCAACACACTCGGCCACCCACCCTCCCATTGGCACCGTGTGTGCCCATGGATTGTGCACAGAGGGTCTACTAGTCATAGAGCGAAACTAACTCCTCTAACCCGATGTCCCGTGTCTGGCGAGAGGGTCACCCGTCTGTCTGTCCGTGGAACGTGTGAATGTTCATCACTGCCCATCGCGGCTAAACACCGAAACCCTTTTACATTTTAAAATCTCGTTTTTTTAAAGGGGTACACAATGGTCGGGTGGTTTATTGTTGCTGTTGTCGCCGTTGTGTTGTTGTTGTTGTTGCTATTGTTGTCGTCGTTGTTGTATTTTTTAGAGTTTAATGCAATTTTTGTATTCGACACAATTGCATTGCACATCATCACGGGGCTCGATGCATCCTGGTAGTTGGGCTCTGTTCTCGCGTGTGTGTGTGTGTGTTTGTGTGTATGTATGTATGTGTGTCTGCACTTTTGTGTGTTATATGCCCAGTACCCCAGTGACCAGTGGAAAAGCTCATTCCTCATACGCATTTTTGATTTAGTTTTGATGGCGCAGAATGCTACCGAAACAAATGCATCGAAAAAAACCCGCTTCTACACAAAGAAGTCGCATGAAAAAATGCAAGCACCACATTGTGGGTGGGAGCATTAAATGCAATTCTAACCGAAACCATTGAACTTGTGACCCTCGATGTTGGCATGTGCATGGGCACATAGGGTGTCGGTGTGTGCATGTGTGTGTGTGTGTGTTTGTTATAGGGCTTCCATTTTTTATTTGACAGAGCATACCACCTTTGGTGATAAACTAAAATA